GGGCAGAAAGAGAGAATTCAAGCAGAAGTAAACGTCCCTCTCGGAGAGACTCTCTCTTATTGGTAGTTCATTAGTCTTGACCTTGCCTTTGACCCACGGCGAATGCAGCAGCAAGCCCACTGCTATGACACCGCCACTATACAAACCACACACACACACACACACACACACACACACAGAAAGGAATGCTGCTTCTGTTATTGTCTTTAAGTGCCAAACTCAGGCCAAGGCCTCGCCAGGGTTTGAAAAACAAAATAACAGCCGTGCAAAGCTCTCTCGCTCACACACACACAGACACACACATACACACCCAAACACCACTTCCGTCCATTCTCTCTCGCAGAGAAAGGAAGTGGAGTCGCGCTGGCCCGGCCCCAGTTGTCCAGACAGAGGTAGCCTGGCAAACCCAGTCTCTTGCCTCCCTACTTCCCCCCTCTGAATGGCTTTAAAAGCCCTCACCATCCTTCACTTCCTTCACCGCTCACTCTGTTGGTAGATGTAAAGAGCCACTTCAAGTACTTGATGCAGTTTCCAGCCATTCGCCTCTCTGGTAAATGTGAAACACTGCACATTTTAATAATACTCTCTCACACATCATTGAGACTGCCTCGTACCACTGGAAAATAAAACTATGAGAGCAATTAATGTAATGTCACAACTTCACAGGCAATAAGGGTAAAATTTAATTCAATATAAATATATCATATTTGCTTTCCATTTTCTTTTTCTACTGGAGGAGGATTCTGGTACAGCAGTAATTGACCAGAGACAAGTGAAAAAGGAGGAGTGGGAAATTTAAACATTTACATTTTATGCAAATGAGGGTATCCATTAGCCTGGGAACCAGACGGATCTGTCGAGCTCATGTGTCATTTGTTCTGGCAGATACGTCTGGCTCCATCCCATTCAGACAGATTTCCACCCAAAGTGATCTGGTCGGGCCAATCGCAACCGTTCATCTATAATGGGTTTGATACGATGAGTGACAGAGGAGCGTCACCGGTCCAGATTTGAAAAGTCACACGCTTCCCTTCTCTGATTGTTGGTCCTGTGTCCAGTATGCAGGTTCGCCCAGCAACACTCAGATCAAACTGTCAAACTAAGCAATGCTGATCAAATATCATTCAAGATTCTGTTACTGCATTGACTATTTCCTCAAATGTTTTTAGAAACACATTTTAATGTGTTGTTTAGCTGCAATTTTCATTAAAATTGCATTAAACACCGCCCAACTTGCGCTCAGTGCTACATCACGTTTCGTTGCTCTGATTGGTTGTAGGTCTATCCAGAGGCATTTTTGTCTGCGCCCGTTGATAACGCCGCTTGGAGCATGAAAATGAGAGGTTCCAGACTAATACACATTTGCAAATTACTCTGGCAATACATGGCTAGGTTTCCATAGTAATTTGAACCCGACCGATTTATCGTTTTGCAGAAATTATCGGCCGATATAAGCTACTTGCAGATATATCTGCATTTGTGTTTATAAAAGCCGATATGACTATTAAAAAAGAGAAAGACAGTCAGATCCTTCCCTCAGGTCACGAGTGTTGCCCACCAGAGGGCGCGCTGCAGCTCCTCTGTTGACAACACTGCAGCACCACAGAACAAAACATCAGCTGACCGCAGTCTACCGGAGCTCAGAGCCAAGTTTTGCATGCCAAAATAATGCTTTTAAACGCTATAATATCCTCCGTAGGGTCCATCAATGGTGAAAATGATTCGAAGTATATATTTTTTGAACGTTGAGAGTTGTTAATATTTTATTATACTTGGTAGAAGTAGCATTCATTAAGATTCAGCTAAAAGATGTGGTGATTACCGCGTTTGATCAATGAGCAAAGTGTCTGAAAAGGACGTTAAGAAGTGGATGCATAATTCGGCAGAACAGATGTTGTAGGCTACCTGCTAAGATTTGCATCTACCTCTTTGCTCAGCATAAATGAGCGTTACCATCCGCGATGTGCATGCAATTCTCGGCAGGCATGCAGGCAGATTGCGGCACCACACCAGCTCTGCCAGAGCTGAAGTGAGTAGCTCCTTTTAGCTCTCACACTCAGTGTTCTCAGTGAGTTGGTCTTTTGTCACGTCAATTACATGACTTAAAGAGCGATTACACTGTAGTGTCTCTAGTTACAGTCGGCGTGTCAGAAATTATTAAATGTGAGCTGAACAAGAATCTAACAGATAGTTCCAGGTCCTTGTTGTAGACAATCATGTAGTATTAGATTAATTCAAGGGCAGCGTTTCCTCTGTGTCACTGTATCATAGAGCCAGAAGTGTGTTAGGAAATCGTTTCTGCAGCGTTGAATAGAATTAACTGAGTGCAGGTGATAAACTCGATGTAGAAAGTAGTCATTGTGGCGGATTATACGTAAGGTAATAAAAAATATATATATATAATTATTTGCCTATGTAGGAGAGCCCTGTTTATCATTATTATGATAGCAATGACATGAGAGATAATATATGATATTATTATTTTTAGGAGTAGTACTAATATATTGGTATTTTTTATAGTTTCTGTTTCGCTGGCCTCCACAATACATACACTATTTAATGTTCATTAGTACTCTATCATTTATAATCAATTCAAAACTTTAATAGATTTTGTTGTACTTCTGTTCAAAATGCTATTTCTAACGAGTCAAGTTATTTTTAAACTGCATTATGTTTTGGTCTCTTGGTATAGTATCAACATAACAAATATTAGGGATAATCTTTGTTTATGTTATGCGAATATCGACCGATATATCGGCTATCGGATTTTAAAATCCTCTAATATCGAAATTGGTATAGGCTCTAATAGTAACTTGCCAAAACACTGAAACAGAATAAAGTTACAACCAAAAAGTGCTACTGAACTACTGTAGCTGGTGAGCTAACAGTTAAAACGCTAGCAAGACAGTAACGTACCGGGAAGGAGATGATGGTGAACATCAGCTCCTTCACCAAAAAGCCCCAGCAGAGGATGTACTTCCTGCAGCAGCTGAAGAAGTTCAACCTGCCAACGGCCATTATTCACTCTGCAGAGAAGGTGATTGGATCTGTACACCTTCAGGACTGTGAGGCGAGCAGGCTAAGATTGTTGCTGACACCTCCCATCCCGGTCACAAACAGTTCAGACACTCCCCTCTGGCAGGAGGCTGCGGTCCATCAAGACCAAAACCTCTTGCCACAAAGACAGCTTCTTCCCATCTGCAGCTGGCCTCATTAACAAGGCCTAGGTAATATGTCTGCACAGCCCTAAATCCGCAGAAATGCACATGTAAATATCTCCAACATTGTCCTTTTTCTACTCAAAGTTCTATTATTCTGTATAACTTTATATCTGTTTATTCAATATTTATATATTTTAAATTTTTTTATGTCAACTGAATGTTTGTCTTCCTGTAGCACCTTATCACCAAAGCAAATTCCTCGTGCGTGTGCTGTTCGCTACCCCTTGTCCCTAGGATAATTTCATTCAATGAAAAGTTACTGAAGATGGAAAAATCTCTCGCTCGGTCACTAATGGGGCAAAAAGTTTATTCAAGAGATGTATTTGTACCATCAACACCTGTCTCATAACTGTCATGAATGTAAATGAATGCGTCTTTTGTGGAGCAGTTTATACTCCAACAGAGGAGGTTATATAAAAGTCGATGTTGCATCAGAGCTCATGTTAAGATAGCTTCCTCCATTTTGGACCATTTTTCGAATGTGAATAGTTTGTCAAAGTTCACCAAAGTTGAAGTTGACGCAAAATATACGCTTCCTCCCCCCAGCAAATCTACTTAATGCAGCAATTTCCATTTAAATGAATTGGTTTTGCCATTTTAAATGCTGACAGGAACTTTATGTAGTTACATTTTATAATATCAGCACACAGCCGTTCCCTCACTCATGATTTTGTTTTAGCCACAATGCTTCTGGATTTGGTGTCATGATTATCTTTATTGATGCATTCAGCATGCCTTGCAAGTTTTCTTTATTTTGCACTATGGAACAAAACAACAATAGCTTACTTTTCGGTTATGGCAGCATGTGTCAGAACAGACTGGATATTTAATTTTTCCCATGTTTGAATGGTAGTTAAAATCTCAAACAAAATGCGACATCCCAAAGAAAGAAGTGGAGGAAGCAATGTCGGACAATGTTCTACACCGTAATTCAACCAGAAATAAACAGCTCTGTATCCGTTACTTGAGAAACTTCTATTGTCTCACAGTATATCTCTTTATATTGCCCAACCCTACATCTGAACTTTATTATCTGCCTTTCTCTAATGATTTACAGCTAGAGAAAGTACTAATGCATCATACACAGTCTGTCTCCTTGTTCAGCTCTCCATCATCTTCCTAATGCCAGCATATTTACAGGGATATCTCATTATGCTGAGTTATACGTGTGTGCTGTACGCTTGTCAAACAAAGAAAGACCATTCAGCACAAACTTAACATTACGCTATAAAAGCACAACATGTGGATTGCGGCATCCAAATGGCAGGCTTGTGTTCAGCTGCCGTACGCCAGTAATCAAAAGTACAGCAAAACAAGCTGTCTGACAGGATCTGGAGAAGGAAAGAGGGGAAATAAGGACTGTTTCTGAGCAGCCAATTAAAGTCTGTCAGGCACTAACTTGGCCAACAACAGGAAAAAAGCAAAGATTAAATCCAGCAAAAGGTGATCTAAGGTACTTGCAACTGTTGACCTGTGCATGAACTCCTGATAAACTGGAAGAAGATGTCACGGCTGAGTTTCCAAAGAGGGTACCATCCTTTTTGTAAGACTTTTTAATTAACTATATTTCCGCTGTTCCATATCTACATAAATATACCATTACTGAGATGATATTGAGAGGCAGGGAAGTGAAAAGCTCATCCATTTCTCATCCATATAACCTTCCACTTGTATCCACTCCTCTGCCACATAAAATCCATTCCCCACTCTTAGCTGCAGTATTTTCATTTGGAGTGTGTGATTGAGCGGCGAGGGGTCACCGAGGCTCAAACCTCTTACCTTGGGCCATTTGGGGTTGATGAGACGTGCTTTGATTGCGTCGTCCAGAGCGGTGCTGTACTGTCCCAGCCTGAGATAGGCTGCAGAGCGGTTACTGTACAGGATGCAGTTCTGGGGGTCGGCGGTCAGGGCCTCGCTGTAGAGACGCACCGCCAGAGTGTACTCGCCATGCTGGCAGGCCTGGTTACTGCGACGCACGCGCTCCAGGAATTCTCCTTTGCTCAGGCCGGGCGGGCTGGAGCCGGACGTTCGTTCAATCCTTTTCACCGCCACGGCCGAAGGGATCACAGGCGAGGAAGAGGAGGAGGATGAAGAGGGAGGGTTGGTGGTTCTGCTGGTGGAGCGAGAACCAAACAGGGAGAACTGAGGAGCAGAAGGGGAAGAGGGGAGGACAAGGAAAGAAGACAGTGGTTAATTATTTTTAATTAGAGCTAAAACATTTATCACATTAGTCCATCAACAGAAAACTATTTTGATAATTGGTTAATCATTCAGGCAGATTGATATCACGATGTTCTCAACCAACAAAGAAAGTTCAGAAACCTGGATCAGGTGTTTACATGCAACCGCATCCTGGTTTTTATCGGAGTAATCCAGGTAGGTTTCTCATGCGCCAAACATGACCAGGATACTGATGCTGTTTTAAAGCACTCAGATTTCTTAAACTCTCAAATTTCTTTATCGGTATGTGCCTCAAAACTCATGTATCGGTTGGGCTACACTGATTATTCTATAATTGAATAATGTCATTGAGAAAGCCCTATAAAGAGTGATTAAATCCTTTGCCCACAGTATTGTAGAAATAAAAATTAAGTTGAGAAAGACCGAGAGGAAATGTGCTTTTGGCTGCTGTTACATAAGTCATAAAAAACAACTTATTGCAAGCAGAACTCAACACAGTACGACGCCGAAACTGCAGCAGCCTCATTTGCATGATATGAAACTGTGTGGCTGGCAAATGGGACACCAAACTGCTGTGTGCACTTTTATTTTCTGCTCGGTGGTAATGGCTCGAATTCCTCAGAGAGAGACGCAGAGAAAGGAGGAAAGTCAGACTCAGAAAGTCAGAGGAGGCTTCTGTTCTTCTCATTCGCTTCTTTCACACCCGCCGAAACTTTGTGTAAAATGTGCTCCCTGAGGTTAGCTCTCTATAGCTTTAACATTGAAACACTGCGTCCCTCCCTGATTTGGTGCTTCCAAATTTGTCCTTTCACCAGCGCTTCCACCAAGGCCTTCATTATCTCCCTCTCTCTCTCTCTCTCTCACACACACACACACACACACACACACACAATTGTTGAGATACACGCTTAAAATATGCAGACTGGAGGGATTCCTGAAACTTGCAAATGCATCACCCAACGGCTTTGAGCGAGAGGCAAGGAGAGGCAGAAAGTTGTTTGGAAATGCACTGATGATTCACAAAATTCAAAAAACTGCAAGAAAACTTTAGGCGAGCAAAAAAAAAAAAAATGTTCTGCAGCCTCAGACATGTCACATGAGAACTAACGCAGACTATCAAGTACCTACTCTGAAAGTTTAGTCCTCCTTTAATTAACGCTGAAAAGCTAGATATAGATGTAGCTCTTGCTAACATCAAAGTCCTCTGCTTTGCTAGAGTTTGCTTAAACTTCCTCATCTCCTTAGAGAAAAAACAGCATTAAAATAATTGTGTCTTATCGTGTAGTTGCAGTGAAACTGAACCATACACTGAAATATATTCGTTTAAATGCTGTTGAAACAGTAAATGCCACCTAAAAACTTCTGGACTAGTATGGGACAGCAAGGTGAGAGACGACCTGGTCACCGCTAAGTCCCCTTTCAAGATGTTTCTCAGACCAAACGAACAGGCCCCCTCCTGTAGGGGTCAGGGGGTTGACCTGGAGGGGATCTGACCTGCAACGGGGCAGCAACCTCCATGCGAGTGTGGAGGCAGACGAAATCAGGAGAAAGCAAACAAGGATAAAGGAGGGTGTGGAAAAGGAAAAACATAAAAATAAATAAAGCCAAAACAGATAAATAAAACGGATTAATAAATCAAACTCTATCCTGACCAAGCTGATGTGACTCGTCCCTGTTCAACCCCAACACCTCTTCGTCCTCGGGGCCCCACCAGAGATTCCCCTTTTTTTCATTATCTTTTTAAGTCTTTTGTTTCTCATTTCTCTTTTCTCTCTCTGCCCTTCCCCCTATATCTTTACACACTAAAAACTCCCATACACACATCCACTCATGTGCGAAGTAGAATAAGAAAATCTATTTATTCAAGTTTACTCGGGTATCTTCAGGTAATTACTTCAACTTACCTGTATGTCTTCCTGTTAATCACTTGTCACAAAACAATAAATGGGTCCTCGACTTCAGGCAGAATTAGACAAAGGTAGACGTCTGATTTTCAGTCGGTCAATTTCGTCAGCCGACAAATGCAGCAAGCTAGCCATTGAACAGATACCAGTTCCATTGGACTAATCAATCAATCAATCGTTTATCTAGTTAGCTGTTTATTATTCTATCTTTAAATAATATTTTCTGCAAGTTTCAGTTAAATGGAGTGAAGTTGAAACGATACACGTTACTATTTTGATTATCAGTTGATGTTTAAAGCTTTGGGTAGGCAATGTTGGAGAAACTAGCAAGAGAAGTATCCAATCAAAAAAATTTTACTCCCACCCTTCAGGCCTCCCTCTAAAGCTTCTCCCCCAACACATGTTTAAGCACAGTGAGTGCACGACAACTGTGTTATTTAAAAAATGAAAAATTGATATTATTTTAATATTACACATACAGTAATGTCGTGTAAATAAGTCACCAGCTCCTAAATAACTTCTGTTTCTTTCTGTTCAACATAGTCGGTGGTGCTAATGCACCTTAATGCTGGTTGCCATCCGCCATAAAATACAAAAAAGCAGAAGAAGAAGACGTAGTAGGTAGCTAGCAAGCTAATAACACACAATGTCTGGCGGCTACTGAAGCGCAAATTACATTTGGGTCACAGTAAGGTCTTAGTTAGTTGCGTTGTTAAGTTGTTAAAGCTAAGTTATCATGACATGACAGTATTTTTTGTCTCCTGTTTGTTTAGGCAGCGTCAAAGAAGTGAGAGAGCCAGGGAGGTGCTGATTTCTTTGTCCAAACTAATGTTTTGCAATTACTAAATTGATATTTGTGTTTTGAACTGTTGGTACATCAAAACAAGCAATTTAAAAACATTAATTGTGAGGTGCATTTTTACTATTTTACGGACGAAACAATTCAGTCATTAATTGGAAAAATAATCAGCAGATTAGTCGATAATCTTTTTAATTTCTCTAGAAATCATAAACTACTTGGTCTCAACTAATCTCAACTAACTAAACTCTAACAAAAATAACCCATTGGCAGTAATCGCTACAAAATTACAAAGTTCTGTCCAGGAAAATTATTGAAAAATACACAGACAGACACATAAAAAGAAATATCACCAATTTATTTTGATAGTTTATGCATCTTATTGTCTATACACCTTTGTAGCACGTGACAGTTGTCTTAGTCTGTTTATGTTTTGTATTTGTATGTATTTATTCCAGTAACGTGTTTATGCTGCCTTCTTGGTCAAATAAAATGCTGTTTCAAAGCTTTCTCCACGATGCCAGGAAATAAAAATTCTGGCTGGAAGAATTAAGATAAGACAAGATAAACTTTATCTTTGTCTTGGTCAACAGTGATACGCTGTGAAGGCTGCAGCAACAGCAAACAGACTCACACACAAATACAGTCTGTTCTATACATTTAACGTGCTATTGCACAGGTAGATAGGCACTGCAACATATCAGACTGAAATCAGATGAAATTCGGACCTAAGTAACCCTAAGAACAACACAGATAAACTCTACGTGAAAAGACAATGAAGCAAATAAATAACCAATGTAAGAACAAGGTAAATAACATTTGCAAACTAATTAAAAACAGGATAAAAAGTGAACCATACTAGGAATATTCTTCTACTTTCCTAAAAATGCGCAATTCACAGAAAAAAAGGCAATGACCTCAAGTGTCCTCAGTGGTGACTTCAGCCCTGACGAGTACAAATACACAGTAATACTCAGCTCTTCTCTACAAGCCATCATGTTGTTATGAAACACTTATGAAACATGACAAATGTGAAATAAAGCAGAGCTTGTTTAACATGTTACCACGGCGTTGTTGGCTGAAATAAACAAAGACGGCCACACATCATGTGTATGGAACTAAGGTGTAGATCTTTAAGCCTATTACTGATGAACTAGAATGCAGTTAATAGAGCAGAAGAAACAAACTACTGAGTGTAATGTGGACTTTTGCAATCACAGTTTACATGACTGAGCATATTCACTGACGTCTTACAATGTTCTTTAAACAGAAGTCTGACCACACTGGAACTTCTCTGCGGTGATGTGTGGGCGCACCTGTGCACAAACTGGTCAAATGGTTTGTTTGTAAGAGCAGTGGATACACACTCACCTAAAGGATTATTAGGAACACCATACTAATACTGTGTTTGACCCCCTTTCGCCTTCAGAACTGCCTTAATTCTACGTGGCATTGATTCAACAAGGTGCTGAAAGCATTCTTTAGAAATGTTGGCCCATATTGATGGATAGCATCTTGCAGTTGATGGAGATTTGTGGGATGCAAATCCAGGGCACGAAGCTCCCGTTCCACCACATCCCAAAGATGCTCTATTGGGTTGAGATCTGGTGACTGTGGGGGCCATTTTAGTACAGTGAACTCATTGTCATGTTCAAGAAACCAATTTGAAATGATTCGAGCTTTGTGACATGGTGCATTATCCTGCTGGAAGTAGCCATCAGAGGATGGGTACATGGTGGCCATAAAGGGATGGACATGGTCAGAAACAATGCTCAGGTAGGCCGTGGCATTTAAACGATGCCCAATTGGCACTAAGGGGCCTAAAGTGTGCCAAGGAAACTTCCCCCACACCATTACACCACCACCAGCAGCCTGCACAGTGGTAACAAGGCATGATGGATCCATGTTCTCATTCTGTTTACGCCAAATTCTGACTCTACCATCTGAATGTCTCAACAGAAATCGAGACTCATCAGACCAGGCAACATTTTTCCAGTCTTCAACTGTCCAATTTTGGTGAGCTCTTGCAAATTGTAGCCTCTTTTTCCTATTTGTAGTGGAGATGAGTGGCACCCGGTGGGGTCTTCTGCTGTTGTGGCCCATCCGCCTCAAGGTTGTGTGTGTTGCGGCTTCACAAATGCTTTGCTGTATACCTCGGTTGTAATGAGTGGTTATTTCAGTCAAAGTTGCTCTTCTATCAGCTTGAATCAGTCAGCCCATTCTCCTCTGACCTCTAGCATCAACAAGGCATTTTCGCCCACAGGACTGCCGCATACTGGATGTTTTTCCCTTTTCACACCATTCTTTGTAAACCCTAGAAATGGTTGTGCGTGAAAATCCCAGTAACTGAGCAGATAGTGAAATACTCAGACCGGCCCGTCTGGCACCAACAACCATGCCACGCTCAAAATTGCTTAAATCACCTTTCTTTCCCATTCTGACATTCAGTTTGGAGTTCAGGAGATTGTCTTGACCAGGACCACACCCCTAAATGCATTGAAGCAACTGCCATGTGATTGGTTGATTAGATAATTGCATTAATGAGAAATTGAACAGGTGTTCCTAATAATCTTTTAGGTGAGTGTATATGTGTACAAGCGTGAGTCAAAGTTGGAAAGTGAAATTTGATCTATTAGGTGAACCGCTGTTTGACTGATCTCACTACAGGTAGTCCGTTGGGGGGCAGAAGAAACAGAGACAATACTTACATATCATCGCCATTTAAGTTGATGCTAAAGTTGATAGCAAACAGTTGCTTATCTAAGCTGCCGGTGTGCTTATAGGACAGTCGAATGGCTACAGAAACCCCCTCCTCTCACACTTCTATGATGTCGGAACAAGGGGAGGGTTGTGTCCAATCATTTCTGTAACTTCCTGAAACCAGTGGTGGTCATTAACTAAGTACAAATTTGAGATACTTGTACTTTACTTTTCATGCCACTTACTACTTCTACTCCACTACATCTCAGTAGTACAGCTGAGACGATTTGACAGAAAATTTATTGGCAATTATTTTGATCTTTAAAGTAATTTTTTATGCAAAAACATTTCATGGTTGCAGCTTCACAAATTAATTATTTTAATAATTTGAATGTAGTGTTAATAACGTTGAGGTTTTGAACTGTGGACACAACAAACATTATGAAGGTGTCACTTTGGGCTCTGAGTAACTGTGACGGCAGAATCTTTACAAACCAAACAATAAATTGATTAATGGAGAAAATAATCAGCAGATTAATCCAGAATGAAAATAATCTTTAGTTGCGGTCCGATACAAAATAGTTCAAATTGAATATTTTATAACATTTTTCTGCACATTTTTTGAGTACTTTTACTTTTAATACTTTAAAGTACATTTTCCTGTGAACAGCCAAGTGCAACACCGTGAAGTCTTCCAGGAGAGACTGCCTGAAAATGTCCAAAATCCACATGTTCAAATGATTTCATGTCTACCCTCAACACCTAGTTCTAGTTTTGTTCAAGCATAACCTGCCCCTTACACAGCCAGAAGAAAGACAGCAAAATTAGCCTTCTTTTAGTATCGTGAAAGTCCACTTTTCACTCTCCTTTTTGCCTTGTTCTTGGTCTCCATCAACTCTTGAGGGAAATATCAGACTCTTTAGATGCTAATTGCTCCACTATGTACACCAGTTTGTCGCCAACTTTGTCCATCTTCTGTTTATTGCTGGACAGGTGGCACAGAGTGGGTTATGGTAGCTATTTCTCTTTGAGATTGACAAAACAGTGAAGCAAAAACCAAAAACCTTCTGTCCGTAAAGCCAAACCAATGTGCTGAAACACACTCTAAAGCTCTGCAGGGCGGAGGGAGAGCCGCAGGAAGGCGTGATAACTCACTGAGTGCAACACCTTTCACACACTTGCAGTCGTTTGACTCAACGTTCATATGAAAACATTCATTACAGCTGCTTTAAAGCCCTAAGGTGCTTCTTCTCTCCCTGACAGAGCCCCATAAGCTCCCCTCCAAAACTTGTCACATGTATTCACTGATAAATAAACACATATTGAACAGAATATTGATTATTTGTTGCATATCGTATTGTAATAGTTCCAGCTTGGCGGAGTGAGTTTGAGTTTTAGACTAGTTGGTGAAATAGAACAAGACATCTGAAGAGGTCACTTTGGGCTCTCCAAACATGTGGTTTTTTAATGTTAAACGATAATTCCATAATTCAAAAAGCATCGGACAGATTCATAAATCATTTAAATGATCTAATAAAACATGTACACTAAAATTTACTTGACTTAGTAGTTTTGTCATTTTTGTGAGGTAAAGAGAAGGAAACACATTTTTCCCTTTCGGAAACTAAAACTGTACATTAAAACAACTGCAAACTGTCCATTTCAGCTCTTAAACGGTCGTTGCACTGAACTCCTGTGTGTCCAGTCTGCTTCATCAGGATGTGGTGTGTTGCGTCACCTGTCTGTGTTGTTTGATACTCCTGTAGCAACTAATTAAAGGTGCTGCCACCTTGATGAAGTCTCAGCAGGACTTTTCCACTGTTACTGTTATTTTAAGTTTCACTGCTGACATATGCAGTGGTGGAAGAAGTACTCAGATATTTTAAGGTGGTAACACCTTAGTGCAGAAATACTGTATTCTGTTACGAGTAAAAGTAATGCATTTAAAATGGTATATAAGTTTAAGTGCAAAAGTATTAGCACCAAGATATATATACTACACATTTTGCAGAACAGCCCATTTCAGAATAATGTATAGTCTATTTGTGGATTATGATTATTGATGAATTAATCTGTTCATCACTTTAATGTTGCAGCTGGTAAAGACAGAACTAATTTGAATGTATTTATATGTAGTTACATACCGTAAAACCCAGTTAGACGCCTGTCCTTTTTACTGGCCTGGTATGGCTCCACGTTTTGACAAATAAAGGCAGGTCTCCATTAGAAGCCTGGTCTGGTTTTTATAAATGTTCTTTGAATGTATAAAACCTCTTGAAGCCCACAGGGTCACCTGCTTGAGCTGGTTCTAAGCTGCTTGGATTGTACATACAAGTTTAAATGTTTGAACTTTTGTCAGTATGGACATGCTACACATCGTTAGATCGGTTAGATTCAATGGTTTAGTTCATTTTATGGAAACAGTGAGCACCAAAATATTTTTCATTCAGAATTACCAGCATGATAAAGGAATTAAAGGCCTGTCCCAAATATAGGCAGGATGACTTCAGCGATTTAAGCAAATAAAAGTCCGGGCTATTAATTGAAGTTTTACGGTATATGTTTTGCCGGGTAGTTTGTGATATTAGTTATAAAGTGTTACTAATATAATAAGATCATAACGTATAGAAGTTGAAGAATGTATGGAAATTAAATAAAATATTTTCCTCTGAATTGTAGTAGAGTAGAAGTATAAAGTAGCAGAAAATGGAAGTAAGCTACTTAAGTACAGTACTTCAGTAAATGTACTAAATGTATACCGAAGTATTAGGCTGTCTGAACAAGAGTCTGCAGTGGGAGGAACAACACTTTTCACTCTCATACACGTAAACAAAAAGGACAAAAAAAAGACAGGAACACAACATGAATGTCCTGTGCAAGTCCTTCACACACACACACACACACACACACACACACACACACACACACACACACACACACACACACACACACATACACACTTCCCCTTTCTCCTGCCTTATACTCCCAGCCCTTGTTACAGCTCAGGTCAAAGGGAGTACATTCCTGGAGACAGACAGAAACTGGGGGTCTGAATACCTGCACGAGAGGAAGCTGTGGCCCTTTGATACTTTAATATAAGTCACATTGTAGGTGTGTGTGTGTTGATGTACTTATGAAGTTAAGATTAAAGTTAATAAAATATCAACAAATATCTGGTTCCAGCCTCTCAAATGTGGATTATTTGATGCTTTGGTCTGTTTGTTTACCAAAATACTTGACTTGTACAGTCATTATACATTCTATAAACACCTATTCTCTCGCCCACTTTTATGTATATAGTTTATTTTTAACTGTCTTTGTTCAGCTTTGTTGCCCTTGTGTTTAGCTGTACGTCTATTTCTATCTAAAATCAAACTTCCCTGTATGGGTACACTTATTTGGCTAGTAAATCTGATTGACTGTGATTCTTTCTTTGTCATGGCAGACATTTGTCACTATTCTACCACATTTCTTGAGGGATTTAATATCTCAGAAAGGATCAATCAATTAATTGAGAAAACAGTTGGCTAGATTGTGCTGCCAAGTGGTGGAAAAAAAATTGGCCACTTGAGTATTTCCATTTTGCTACTTTGAACTTCTCCTCTACTACAATTCAGATGGAAATCCTTTTTACTTCACTACATTTATTTGAAAATATAATCAACAAATAAATGTTTATATTATTATATGAAAAAAACGTCATTGCTACCCAGCAGTATATAAAGTAATATACATTTATTTACATTAACCAGCTGTCACATTAAAATACTGAGCACATAAATGCATCAATGATCATACTTTAATTATATAATATATATTATAATTATTTTAATATATATTATTTTGCTAAATACTATATTTTTGATGTTAATACTTTAGTACTTTTACTTAAATGCAGGACTATTACTTGTAACAGTATTTCTACAGTGTTGTATCCTACTTTTACTCAAGTAAATGATCTGAGTACTTCCACTGCTCCAGCTGCCTGTTAAACTGTCACACTGTTGTAACTCAGACTAGCTTTCTTTCTTTCTTTCTTTCTTTCTTTGCGACAGACTGCTCTACAGACCCGGACCCGCCAGAACAAGCGGTTTGTGCCATTTTATGTGAAACCACTAACTAAATAAAACACTGACCACTGTCCCCATTATTTAGCCTTACCTTTTCTTTCTTGATCTTTTGCTTTTCCATCCTGCTCTCTGCTAAATCCGGCGACTGCAGCTCCAAACTTTCATCCCACAGCAGCAGCGGTGAGGCAGGACAGGAAAACACACCATCCAAAACAACACGAAGGCGATCCACAGCCTACTGCCTTTAAATTACTGATCAATACGTTGGGGAGACTTGTGCGCTATGTAGCGATCCTGCAAAGTTTTTCCTGGGGAAAGTTAATCTGGAGTGAGTGCGCCATGTTCCCACAGCCGATCTTCTCCCCATAGCGGAATTTTTGTCCGGTGAGAGGCGGGGATCCGGTCGGCTCCATGGCTGCAGCCTTCAGCAAGGTTTCAATTACTTTTCATGACATCAGAGAGGAGTTGAGTTACCTGACAGATATTCATTACAACAGGCCTTTACAGGCACTGTTGGTATGTTGGTGCAGGAGATTAAAAGTAATTATGCTTCTTGTGCTTTTCTTGTTGAATAAATGAGTTTATCAAGTTTGGTTTTTTTGTTTGTTTTTTCACGTTTATTAGGTTACCCAAAAAACAAACCAAAAAAACTATAAATATTTTTACACAATATTTGTAGTCTAAACCAGTGGTTGGCAAACTTTTTCACTGTCAAGGACCCTTAATTGGACACAAATTAGACATGCACCCCTGTCTGATAAGAGTTCAGGATTTTTACTTTTAGATTATTTATTTATTTTAGCCGTACATTATGTCATTGTGTTACTTTTGTGTAATTATATGTGAAAATAAAAGATTCCCCCTTTGGCTGGGGACCCCATGGAACCACATAAAGGACCCCAGGGTGTCCCCCGGACTCCACTTTGAGAACCACTGGTCTAAAGAGCAAGAAGCAAAGACTTTAGATTTTAAATAAATTGTTTTGGGAAACATACAAAAGAAAAATATCACTTGTCTTTGTCTATGAAATATGACAGTCAGGAGACGTTACTTAGCTTAGCATAAAGACTTGAAACGTGTGGAAACAGCTAGCCTAGCTCTGTCCAAAGGTAACAGAAGCATCAACCAGCAACTTTAAAGTTCACTAGTTTACACGTTATATCTGGTTTGTTGACTCTATTCAGAAACTGAAACGTAAAAAACAACATTTTGTTTTTGGAGAATCTGCTGGTTGCCTCAGGGCGACAACAGGTATCCAGAAAATTGCCTGGCCAAAAGATGTTATTACAGTTTCCCCACTGCTTCCCGTCTTTATGCTAAGCTAGGCTAACCTAGCTGCTGGCTTTCTTGCAAAAAGTTGAGGATGGACACTAACTCTCATGTCTGTACGGTAACATATGAAGCTACAGAAGACGAGTTAGACTGTCAAACATTTCCTTTAAATCAATCATACATTATATTTCCTTCTCACATCGTAAATCAAATATATCACTATGTGTTTTATGTACAGATATTTACATTATTGTCCTTTTTAATAGATGAGCTAGTAACATACTTTGCATTTATTTAACTCATACAACACAGTACAAATATTTACAAATACACTAAGTGCTGACCTCTATAACAGAGACTACAGGGCTTTCATCAGTGGAGACTTCTGATGCAGCGGGGCATCAAAATGTTGGTAAACTATGACCTTTTTATCATTATAATGTGTGTGGAAAGTGCCACAGATATTGACTTATAGCAGAACCAGACTAATAGTCTACAGCTATGCTAGCAGCTATTAGACACAGTGGTCAATGTCAATATGCTAACATGTTCAGCAGGTTTAATCTTTGTCATGTTCACTATGTTGGTTTAGCATGTTTAGCATGCTAACACTTCCTCATTAGCACTAAGCAGCTGAAGGTCATTATTTTATTGGGCAAAATCAAACATTTTGACCTGTTGATGGTGCTAATTGGACATTTAAGGGATCATTACAGTTCATTGTAAAGGGAACATGAATGTTTATATTTTAAGGCAATCTATCCAATAGTTGTTGAGATATTCTCAGTATGAACCAAAGTGGTGGACCAACTAACACTGACGTTCCTAGAGCTGCACTTAAAGAAAGTACAGGTGTAACTAATCACTTTAATGGTGGCTCAGGTGTATTAAATGTCCCTGGAAGTTACTCCAGTGAGCCAGCATGCAAAATAGTAGGTGCCTTAAGAACTCGCACACCTGAATGAAGTCGTCATTAATGTTGTTAGTTAGGCTACACCAGTTTTGTTACTTCTATGACAAGTCAAAACATCTGCTGAGAAAAGGGTTTGTTAAAGTAAAGAAGTTTTCTTTTTTTATACCCCGGATGTAGACTATATGAATTCATAATACTATAGTATGTAATGAGGGAAAGTGTTTAATATTAAATAAATAAATAAGACATTATGCAGACAAAACAGGTTATATAACCGTGAAAACTATTATCACTATTCTATCCTATGTCTTTTCATTGAGTTTATTGAAGGTTATTTATTTCATTTATTACATTCCAGCAGTTTTTACTTATTTTATTTATAAAATAATAGACTTTTTCCAAAGTCTGTTTTTATGGAGGGTGTTTATTTTAACATATTGGGAGTGTCAGAAATAAGTGTTCTAACATTTAACGCGTTATCCCTTGGAATGATGTGTTTTCTTGATCCATTAATAGATTAAATTTAATTTTTATTGACTGATAGTGAAGAAAAGTGATATTATGATCTAACTTTCATCAGTATGTTGTGACACAAGAAATTTTAAAAAGTGCTGGAATGAAATGAAAATGAGCTGATAAAAGAAATTGTACTGAATTATTTCATAATTTCAAGGTTATTATTTTTGTCTGTTGATGATGTCTTATTTTTCAGTTGAATATTAAACACTTTGACTCCCTCACATTCAGACGAGCTCTCTTCATCTTGCAGCTTGACCATGTTTCCTGTTTTTGTTGACTTTGGGCCTGACCATCCTGAGACACAGTCTGTGGAGCTTGACAGCTCTGTCTTTTCTCTTTGCACTTCTGGTGTTTGGCCTCCTGATCTTCAGTCTGACTGCCTGCAGGTGGCGCTGCTCCTCCATGTCAGCACCGCTGGTCTGGTCCAGCTGAGGAAACTCTGCTTTCACCAGAACCGCTGTACAGCTGTAGAGCAAAGAAGAAGCAATGGTAATTTATGATGCTTTAATTAATTAAGAGCCTTTAATTTTACTCTTACAAGAACTGCATTTTAGTACACTTTTGAGGTATTTAGTAATTTAGTTGAGTGTTTCCATTTTAAGCTACTTTATACTTCTGCTTCTGTACTTTTTACTCCACACTACTCCTACATTTATTTGACAGCTATAGTTACTTTGCAGATTTAGATTTTACATCAACATATGCTGAGTTTAAAGTACAGTGAATGAAAATATGTATAACAGAATTTTGCTGTATTGCATGACTGTCTGTCCCGGGAAAGGGATCCCACCTCTGTTGCTCCTCCTGAGGTTTCTACCACGTTTTTATATTATATTTGTATTTAGCTGATGCTTTTATCCAAAGCAACTTACAATTGCTATTCATGTCAAGAGGTCGCACGCCTCTGGAGCAATTAGGGGTTAAGTGTCTTGCTCAGGGACACAACGGTGGATGGGTCACAGTGGGAATCGAACCTGGATCTCTCACACCAAAGGCATGTGTCTTATCCATTATTCCATCACCGCCCTTTTTATGTCTTATTGTTTGGGGGGAGTTGTTTCTGATACAAATCGAGGGACTTAGGACAGAGGGTGTCATGTGCTGGACAGATTGTAAAGCTCCTTCTGCAAATTTGTGATAAATAAAATTCGACTTGTTTTCCAGTTACTCCCCATTAATTAGAGGACTTTGGAACCATGGACTGTACTGACTGTATCTACTGACCCTTTGGAGGGGCTCAACCCATAGGTTGGGAACCACTGGTCAAAATTAGCTGTATAAAAAAGTAAAGTAGTTAAAACTAGCTAAGAGACATTTTAGTGCACAACCAGTACTTTTATTTTTGGTACCTAAAGTACATTGTACTGATAATATTTCTGTAGTTGGATTTCTTTTACTTGTAATAAAGTATCTCCAGTAAAGTATTTTCTTAAAACCAAGGCCATGTGAGTACATCTGTGTCTGGGTTTGTATACTAACGTTTTGTGTGCTGTGCAGTCCTGTGGCAGGAAGCAGGTCTTAGACACATGTCCCAGCAGAAACGCCTGCACTTTGGTCAGTTGTCTCTGTTTAGCCAAAGTCTGAAATAATCTGGAAGGACAGACAAATACGTCAGAGATCAACAGAAATGCCAACAAATACAGCAGATGAACTTAAGATTATGAAAATGTCCAAGGCCGTAACAATTCTGTGCAGATTCAGAGAAACCCTTCATCTTATGTAACAGTGTGACTTTGAATGTGTACACTGCTTGTGGCCTAGTTTTGTCCCATGAACCATTACACCATGTCTGTCTTGTCTTACTTGTGCACACATAGAGTTAAAGGTGGGTGCACCTGTATATATTCTGCAAATAACTCTGTAAATATTTACTTTAGAGGCTTAGGTAAATTTGTGTAAACTGGTTTAACAAATTCCCACGTCATTCAATATCCTGATCAGTTGCTCCTTCCAACGATATGTGGAAGTTTTAAGTAAAAAAATCAATAAAATGCTTGGTATTTATCAAGTCTGTTAAATTTACCTGGTGGTACAGTTGCAGTGGTACAGCGTTGTGGCCTCTGGGTTGCGGAGACCGTATCTCTTCTGGTGGGGAAGGATCTTGTTCCTGCAGTCATCAAGGTCCTTGTAAACCGCACATGTCAGCTGGTTCTCTGTGGAGGGGAAACTTCAGTGTAAATGCTCAGTCTAATTCCTGTAGAGTAGAAATATAAACTGATATGTGTACAATATCCAATACCTGTGATATCAGCATCTGGCTTAGACAGAGTTTGGTTCTTGGTAGGTAAAGTGTTCTCCAGATCATGCGTACTCTCAGGTGCTGTAGGTCCTCTAGGTCCCTCTGATGTATTTGTGAATGTGGAGGTAGTAACGGGGAGGATGGTTGCGGAGGAGTAACTGGTTGAAGGTGTAGGGGCTGTGGATGCTGCAGCAGTGACGGAGAGGAGCTGTGTGTGTAACGTGCTGTTCTCCAGTAGTTCTGTGGGTGTGGTAGTGTTTATGGTGGAGCTGGTACTGTTCATGCTAACCTCAGTTGGATTGGGAGACTCGTACGGTGTGGGTGGATGGATATCAGCATACAGAGCCATTTTAGTCTCTTTACACCTGTAAGTCACAATAAAGGTTTAAATGATTTAAAGAGTCTGGTCATTATGAAGCTACAGTCTGTCTGTTAGCTTAGCTTAGCATAAAGACTGGAGTCAGGGGCTAACAGCTAACCTAGCTCTGTCCCCGTCCCAGCACATCTAAAGTTTACTAATTAACACCGTATATCTAATTTGTTTAATCTGTACAGTAAAAGGCTAACTAGGTAAATCACCTACTGGCTCTAGCATCATATTTTGCATATCTACATGAAAGTGGTGTCATAGCAAGAAATAAAATAAGTGTATTTTACTTTAGCAGTAGAATTTTCATATTATGTGTATCAGTTAATTCACAGTTGGTTCATCCCGACGCGTTCTCATACCAGGGTGTCAAATACCAACGCTTTGAGAAAGCCAAACTAAGCGTTGATATTTTACGCACAAGGTACCCTTCACATTTTTAATATTTGGTATTAGGGATGTGGCAAGATACTTAACCCACAAGACGAGATTCAAGATTGGGTTCCTGCGATCAAGATGAGACAAGATTTTAGCATTATTTTTGAGAAATTTTTAATGTTGAATTATATGAAAATTTTGAGCATTATACACTTTAATTCCTGCATTCTGATGATTTTTTTCTGCACCAGTTTATGATGAAAATATTTTTATTTATGTAAAGAGAAACAAAATTCAATATCATCCCTGCTGAGTCATGATTTAGTCTGTCTTCCTCTTTGTGTTTTTGTTTGGGGAAGAACCCTCTTTAAATGCTTTTCACCTCAATGAGAAATGAATTAATTTTAATTCAGTTATAAACTCCTGGATTTTAATAGCTCCTGTGTTTCAGCAGATTTTCTGCTCATGTTCAAAACTTTCTGCACATTCAGAATCTCTCTCACAGATCTGTGTTCTCTGACAGGTCCAGAGAAAAGTCATAATATCATAATATTACCATAATTTACTGAGAAGTTCTGCCC